AGGAAACACTCAACAAAATAAAGATGGATTGCTTTAACTGCTTCATTTCAGCGTAGGCACACATAGTAGGCGCAGTTCGGCTTCGTGGGGGCACCGCATAAAACTCAGCAAAGTTTGTACAGGCCGCTTTGTGCTCACTCGTATCAGACCTGTTGGTTCACAGAAGCTAAACAAATGCACAGGCGATCTAGCAAATGTCTTCCGCCCAAGCCGAATTTCTCCCACATAGTATTCATATTGACCTTGTAAAATCAATGCACTCTTAGTATCTGGATGATATTTTCTTGTTACACGACCAGGCCGCACTTTTTAAACTCTTTTGCGACTATTTTCTATACGCATGGTACTTGATGAACTTTGATGATTGAAAAATAACAAACACGACATTTTTAATGTAAATCGGCTTGAATAAATGTTTTCAGTAATCTTGTTGCCTTTTTATTAACTCAGCACTGGTCTGCAACTTGTTACAGTTTCTGCGGTGATCTTTGCGTCTTGGAGTACAGGGCACGGAAAACAGGGTTTAATGGCGTGGATCCCATCAGACAGAGTGCACTTGAAATGCGGAGCCTCTAGCTGTTGCGCTATTATGTTGAAGATGTTGGATGCATCTGCACCACCGCTAAATATAGCTCTGGACGCCATGGCAAAAAAAACTTATTGAAGGCCACTTAAGACAAACCTATGCCGACCGAGTGCCCTAAGAGCAGACGCCAGGGAAGAAGTTAAGGGTAGGGTACAAAAATGGTAAGAAGCACTAGCAGAAAATGTTAGAACAATCTTCGGCAGAACGTTGGAAAAACCGAGTTTTTGACCTGCGAACAATGCACCGAACCTACGGTAGATTGCCGCCGGAAATCCCTGTGAGGAGTCAGATTGTCAATTGCACGAATGGTAGAGCTGAATTCCATGCGGAATCGTTGTAGAGCAGGTTCAAAATCAGCGAAATCACGAATAACCTGCAAAGAAAAGGTTTTCCAGTCGGCACCAGGGAAGCATTCAAAGAGTTTACAAATTTCTCAGAGCACGCTGTAAAATATAGAAGAAATTGAGTAAACAAATATGAGCAATTTTAGCGAATAGGTCCTCATGAAAATGGTGGCGACACCTCTTCCCTTTGCGGCCGCGGTCTTGGGAACTCTGTTCTCCTTCCTCTTTTCTTCCTCCTTCTTGGGGATGTGGAAAGCCACATCTAGTCGTGGCGGTGCACCGAAGTGATAGTTGCAAGTGGGATGACTTACGCTGCATTCGTCCGAGGACCCAATCCACTCAACGTAGCAGTGCTGGCTGCGTCTCAGGGCACTTGTCAACTGCGAATCCTCTCTTCTCCCTCCTTTTTTCTTTCTCCTTCAGAGAGACTAGTCGATTCGAGAATCTTGTGACATGCTGTGAGCTTTTTCTTCTTCTCCCAGGACACCTATGGGATCTAACGAGATTAAATCACGTACCTCAACACTCCTTGTAAATGGATCGTACACGACTGCAAACGGACGCTCGAAAGAACGTGCGTACTCTCTGGAATACGGTATCTTTCACGTTCACAGAAATAGAAACAAAAGCTCGCAGTCTAGTACTACGCGGACGCTGAGGCGTTCCAGTCAGGGAGTGAGGCTGCAGTGGCGCCCGTCTAAACCCTACTAATTGTGGAAGTTGGCAGGCGACCAGTTGGCGGAGTACAGGATAGCGCCGCGCCATTCCCAGCCATAATGAAACGCCCCAGTGTCCGCAGAGAACAAGACGGAAAATAGAGGCAGCATAAGCCCCTACCCCCTGGAGATTCAAACGAAGACGACGAAGACGCAGTACCAATTGCATGAGTGAAGCATTACGTTCTCACAATGTTGGCGCTGCGACAGCGGCTTGCGTTGCGGTGCGTTTCATTTCCACTAAGACCTAACTGATTCAGTTGCTTCACAGCGAGCCTGACACATAGGGAATACTAGCCGGTTCACATACCGTGCAACATGGATGTAGTGACTCTTCACGTTTTCGCGCGATAGTGCTCTTCAGCAAACAATGTGCGCGGAATCATCAAGCAGCCGTACCTTTTCGACATGGCATGACTGTGTGTCCACGAACGCGGCATTCTGTACGTATTAGCCGCTGTCACTTCACGGAAGGTGTAGTGGTTTGCGTTCCCAGTCCCGCTGTGCATTCTCCATGGTTTCTATATAAATCAGTGGATCCTGTTCACCTGAGCTTCGACAGCGCGTCTTCAATGCTCTGAGCGACGAAGTATAACGGTTGATAGTCGCTGTCCTGGATGGCCGGGTCGAAATCACGATGTTCAGGTTTGTCTGAGCAGGCATGCTGAAACAAGTAAGGCCGTTTGCTGCATACGCTCCTCATGGGCATGAACCTCTCTGACCATCAGCTCTCCATAAGCAGAAAGCAATCCAGCACCAATCGCTTTCAACTGTCCACCTTCTCGACACAAACCGAACTCAATGATGAACCAGTAGACCTGAAAACTCTTGTTTTCTTGAGGGAATGTAAAAACCAACGTCAGAAATACTCACAGTGGCCAGTTTTTCAATTTGTTCGTCGGTAGCGCCCAGGCTCATCAGACCGATATCCTGGAACATAGTAGGTGCTGGCAATACCATCGCTCACAAACTTTCACCCACAGAAACACACCTGACTCATTTGCGCCACCAAGGGATCAGCGAACATTGGTACGTGTCCAAGAAGCTCATGAATCAAGTCCGGCTCAGGTGAATGATGTGGTTTGCTACCATGTCGTAGGTAGGTGGTGGTCTGTGAAGAACTCGTGTCAGCAAAAAAACTACTCCGATTTTGAAATGGTTCGGGACTGCACCCAGTTCGTTTGGTGCATATTAAGGTTCAGACTGAATCTGGAGAGGAAATAAATCGACGTTTGGATAGAATAGTGGAGACCAGCAGGCTCTGTGGTGCCGCAGCGCTAGCTACGTTAGCACGTTGCAGCTTTCTTGCAGTGACCACTCATTAAAATCAGGCAAAGAATGGTGAAGACAACTAACGTAGTTGGGTAGTTGGATGGTTGAGGGGGGCTGGGAGTACGAAGGAGTACGCACTAGGCAAGGGTGTTGCTGCGGCCTGGTTCGTGCGTTAACCCTCCCCCCTCCCTTCTCCGTCCATCAAGGTGGAGTCTGCGGAAGCTGGGGGTTTTAGAGTGGCCGGATTTAGTTTGGTCCCAGTCAATCCCTCTCTCCTGTTACTGAAGTGGGGCAAGCAACAGCAAAAGGTGAAGAACTTGGCGCCGAATCCAGCCGTTGACATGCCTGAGCATTCACAGCGATCAAAACGTCAAGGGGCAGTGAACTGATTTCGAGTGCGAGAGCTGTCACAGTTGCGCTTATTGGTCCTTCTACGCTTCTGACCATCCCGAAGGAATGGAAGGTTCGCTACTAGACCGACATGTGGTTCAGGACTCTCAGACTATGTGAGGCGTTGTCTCATTTCCGCAAAATACTTACCTGGAACACCCGAAACGCTAGACTGGCCAGAAAATCCCGTGCAGATAGCAAGCCACTACACGGCCGAAGAATGAAACCAGTTTTCTCTGAAAAGTCATCGTTCCGTTGGAAACCGTTTTGCAGCTGAAGACTCTGCTTACTCTGGAGATACTTATTAACGTCTCTTATTTGTGGAATCTTATTCGGCGATAGAACACCTTCGTCTTCCAAAAGTTTGAGATTTTTCCTGAAAAAAAGCTAGTTTCAGAGGATTCCCAATATTGGAAGGGGAAAGTGTGTTCTCAATACGCTTCATGTCAGATTCTTGCGCGATGCGGCGACATCTGCGTGGAGAACCTTGTATGCATCCTTCTTAGAACGGGATCCTGAGTCCTTCTTAGACGGGATCCTGAGTTCCAATCCTCCCTCCCCCTCACCCAGTCCTGTTTGTAACGTTTTTGCCAAAGAAGTGCTTGCTACGAAATTGACAGGCATCATTTCGTGAACAATTCCTTAGGGTAGAGCCCACGCTGGTGGCATGAGAAGAGCCATCTATTGAACCTTCCACATTTCGCCCGTCCCGACGTTAAGAAGTGGAGCGCGAGCGAGGAAAGCAAAGTTAGGCCCATTTCCGCCCACATGACCAGCGCGGACTTCGCCACTACTGATGGAATATTAACTGCATATTCTTTACTCGGCTAATCTAACCTGTAGGTATAGCAAGCGTGTGATTCACGTAGATTTCGGAGTTTTTCATAGACAACTCTCCATGTTTCATGTTCTTCTTTCGAATAGTCCACATATGGAATAGGTTCGCCGCTAAATACCGTGATCACAGACCATTACAACGCCCCATAATGGTTTGGTGAAACAAACATCGAAATAAAAAAAGCTCAAAGGCTGCGTCAACGGAACTTCCGCCCGATTTTTGTCTTCAAAATCAGTGTGCTGGCCAATAAAGGCACATGGGCGCTGTTCGTCTTGGGAGGGCATTTCGCACCTTTGCGAGCTACTTTTGCTAGTTCATGCTAACCATCACGTCCCATTCGGTAAGTTGTAATATCAACTTGTAAAGATCGAGAAGCTTCGGAATGATGAAAGTGATCCCCTTTAGTTACAAGAATTTACAGTATTTCACAAGGTGGCCGGGCAGGCCTCGCTGAGTATTGCTCGATGCCCCGCCCCGTCCAACAAAAAAACAAAAGCAGCCGTTGGAGAGCATTCCCTCCATGAAATTCTGACTTAGATCCCGGAAGCATTGCATGTGATTCGAAAACTTCTCTAAGGTAAGCATTTCAGTCAAGGGAAAGCAACAGATTCCCGTTGACGCTGCCTCAAACTTTCGATCAGAAGAGTAAACTATTTACTGTCTGTATTCCATCGCCTGATCGTTCAAGAACTTTCTCCTTGCGATGTATGCTGCATCACCGTGACCCTGAACACGAATCGAAATGTGATGGATGTGATGTGCTGTTTGGCTGGGGAGCGGAGAAAATCCCTTGTATTGCGCGAAAATTGCTTGCACAAGACAACGTCAGGGGGTGGCGTGT